TCAGAGCTGGGAAAGAGGCACTGCCACAGGGCTGTTGTTATACTGACACCTGGTTTTTGTCCCTCTCTGGCATCTAGGCATTAATTATTTGTTTTTTTGCCTTTTTATTTGTGCAGAAACTCCCAATCCTGGACAGCCCCTTGCCCAGCAAAGGCTGCACCTCACCCAAGGCAGGAGCTGCTGCTGCCAAAGCCCCAACTCCTCCCCAGGACTGTGCAGAGGGAGCAGCCCCTGTGCTGAGCAACGGCCCCTCCGTGGGGCAGCAGAAGCTCAAGGAGAGCCCGGCCCAGCCCCAGGAGCCCGGAGCCTGCAGGGAGGATGGGCAGGCTCAGCACCAGGGATGAGCTGTGGGAGCTGCTGGGAGAAGCTCTGGGGAGCTGCTGCAGCCCCCGTGTGCAGCTGAGTGTGAGTAGGGCTGGGGAGCAGCTGCTGGGGGCACCTCCTGCAGCTCAGGTGCTGCAGAGCTGCCAGGAGCCTGCCTGGCATCCCTGGGAACTTGGCTGTGCTGAGGGGTAGGGCTGCCTGCCAGCTCTGCTGTTTGAGGCTGGAAGAAATCTTGCCAACTCCATGAGGAGCTGGGCAGTAACTGCAGGAGGAAGGATGCAAATCCCTCTGTTCTCAGTGGTGGTCCAAGGTCATCTTAAAACAAGAAAAAATTTCAATCTGTCTTCAAATGATAAAACCTCCCCCAACCTTTCTTAGCTGTGAATGAATCTCTGCATGGACCCTTGCCTTGTAGCAGAGCTGATTCATGTTTTGTTTCCTATGCATATTTGTTACACAAAACCAAACCCCCTGTGCCTTCTGAGACTGTGTCTGTGTCCAGCCAGGCCGCTGCAGTTGGGGCTGGAGTTTGCAGTGTGCTCTTGGTCCTGTCTGTAGTCAGTGTTTGTGAGAGGTTTTCTTCTGCTGCAGTTTCTCCAGGGTTTTTGCTGTTCCTCTGAGTTCAGCAGCTTTTATGGAGCTCCTTTATTGATGGGAGTGCAGAGCCAGCCCACAACACATGGATTTGTGATCAGAGGATTGGAAATGAGGAAAGACAGCAGAACATGTATGTGGAATTTTTCTCTCTTATTTTATGATCTTGGTTAAACTGAAGCAAGAGAGTAACTCTGTTCCAAGGTGGAATCATTGATGAGACAGCAGTTACAGATGGGGCTGTGTTGTGGTATTGAAATGGGGCCTGAAATGATAAAATCACTTGTGAGTGATTCTAGGGAATGCTCAGAGTGCAGGATCTGTAGGGATGTTTTGTCTGTCTCATGAACAGTATCTCTCATGGCAGTGAACTTGGGAAGAAACAGAAGAAGCAAGGACTTCTCTGCCAGGGATTGGGGGTCACAAATGAGTGCTTGAAGGTCACCCAAAGAATCCTTGGGAGAGGCAGGAGCAAAAGCAGGTTTGATGTAAAAAAGTGTGACCAAATTCATTTGCAAGGTTCACTCTGTTACTTATTAAATGGTTAAAGCACACAGAGGAAAACTAAAATGGAAAATCAGGCAATCTAAAACTACAATCAACCAGCATGGAGGCTGGGGATGGAAAAGGGTCAGGATGAAATGGAATGAGATGAAATGAGGGAGATTCTCCAGTTGAGTCCCAGGGTTCAGAGTGGAGCATCCTCCCAGACTGAGCCCTGCAATTATCAGCAGTTCAGGCCTGAAGCTTTCCTGCAATCAGAGAATCACTAGCAGCACTAACTCAACAGCAGAGTAAGAATTGAACAAGGGGTTTGTGTGGAATTCCCTGTAAGCACAACAGGAGCTCCCTTAGAGGCTGAACTCACAAACCCAAAGCACTCCACAGTCCAGGAGAGCAGCATTGCCAGTGTTTGGCTCTGGCACAGCCCCAGGGAGCAGCTCCAGGTGTGTCCCTGGGGAAAATTCCCCTCCAGTTCCCTGTATAGAGAGCTGCTTTGATCAGAGTCACTGCCCAGCCTGGCTGCAGTTTGGGTCAATATCTTCCTTTGAAAGGTCAATAACAAAAATGTTCCACTTGCCTTGTTATTCAGGCAAGAAAAATCAGATTGCAGGGCTGGTGGCTAAACCCAGGGGTTTGTACTCCAGCCCTGGGAGCAGCCAGTGAGCTCCTGATAAGCTCAGGGTGCTGCTGCTTATCAAGGTCAAGGCCTGAGGACGTTTCTGAGGTGGTGGTGAGGCCTTGGGAGCCTGGAGGGTTCCCCTGCCCAGGAAAGCTGTGCCACTGTCCTTGTTCTGTGCTGGATTGCACAGATCCCCCTGGGCAGCTCTGTTCAGGATGCTGCTCTGCCCTCTTCTCAAGCTCTTGTTTCAGTTAGGTGCTGCCATTAAGTTTTCCAATCAGATTTGCTCTTTTATAAAAAGTTTGGAAGCCAAGTGAAAATATTTGAGCCTTCCCAATCTCCAGTGAAAGCAGAAACATTCCATTGTAACAGCAGAAAGTGCAATAACTCTGCTCGTGTGCTTTTAACCCTTGGTGAAATCTCTGGGTGGATCCAGTGTCCAAAACCCAACTCAAACCTCCCTCAGTGGCTGTTGTGGGTAAGAAAATACCCATTTTATAAAGCACATGAAAGATCCAAGCAAAAAGACAGCACAGAGTTTCTCCACTGCCTGGAATGGCAAAGAGGAAGATTTTTAGTATTGAGGGTTTGTCACACTTAAATAAAGTTGTTAAAGAAGGAGTGGGAGCTGCAAGAGTGATTGGTTAAAAATGGAACACTGGAAATACTGCCCCAGGTGGGAGTGATGGATCAGCCCTGCCTTTCCTTTCCAGGGGCAATGGGCAACACCCATCCCCAAATCTGAGAGAAAATGGGGCAGGAAGCCAAGACTGGCTCTTCTTAGGACCAGTCATTCTATGGATCATCAGTTCTTTGAATATCTTTAATAAATTCTCTAATTTTCATTAGAGATCTAAAAGTGGAGAGGGTTTTGATTGACTGCTGAAGGACTTCAAGGTGCCATTGGTTAATTATTGTACAAATCCAGCTTGCAGAAAGCTCCTGGAAATGTTTGTGTGGTGCTTTGCCTTTGGAATTGCCATTGGAGGAGTTTAATAACATTTCCTTGTTCATTAAAAGCTTGTCTCCACAAAACTCCAATGTTACTACAAGTGTGTACAACCACCACCAGGTTACTCAGTGTTGTAAGCTTAGAGTAACCTTGTTGCTTTTAAGTTTTGGGTTTGGCACAACAAAGCCAAACCCAAAAATTAATGTCTTTTAAACCTCTTGGATTTCATGTGTGCAGGCTCAGGCAGAGGCTGCAGTGTATTAAAAGCCTTTGATGCTGGAGCTGGAAAAAAATCCAGGATTTCCTCTTTTTCCATGAGCCCATGGTTTGAAAACCAATGAAGGAGAAGCTTTTGGGTTTTGGTGGCAGCTCTGGGCTGTTTGAAGAGCAGAAGGGAGGAGCTGCTCAGAGCTCTGCAGTGTCCTGAGCTCAGCTGGGATCTGCTGATCAAAACATCTGTGTTTCCTGTCCTGGAGCATCCTGGAGCATCCTCTGCTCCCTGGAAGTGTGGGAGCAATGGAGGAGCTGCTGCTGCTGGGACAGTTCCTGTCACTGATTGATTCCCAGGGAGCAGCTGTGCTTTGTGAGGGCAGAAATCCTGCTTTGATTTGGAACAATGCCGTTCTTTCCATTTGGATTCCTGTCACTGGGAGGGAAGAGGGATCAGATGTGCTGCAGTTTGTGGAAAACTCTCCCTTTTCTGGAGCTGCTCCTGCTTCTCCAGGACCTCCATGGTTTCTCCAGGACCTTCCATGGCCTCACCAGGACATTCCATGGCCTCACCAGGACATTCCATGGTCTCACCAGGACATCCCATGGCCTCATCAGGACATTCCATGGTTTCTCCAGGACATCCCATGGTTTCTCCAGGACCTTCCATGGTCTCACCAGGACATTCCATGGTCTCTCCAGAACATTCCATGGTTTCTCCAGGACATTCCATGGTCTCACCAGGACATTCCATGGTTTCACCAGGACATCCCATGGCCTCACCAGAACATTCCATGGTTTCTCCAGGACATTCCATGGCCTCACCAGGACATTCCATGGTTTCTCCAGGACATTCCATGGCCTCACCTGAACATTCCATGGCCTCACCAGGACATTCCATGGTCTCACCAGGACTTCCATGGCCTCACCAGGACATTCCATGGTCTCACCAGGACATTCCATGGTCTCACCAGGACTTCCATGGCCTCACCAGGACTTCCATGGTTTCTCCAGGACATTCCATGGTTTCTCCAGGACATTCCATGGCCTCACCAGAACATTCCATAGTTTCTCCAGGACCTTCCATGGCCTCACCAGGACATCCCATGGTCTCACCAGGACTTCCATGGTCTCACCAGAACATTCCATGGTTTCTCCAGAACATTCCATGGTCTCACCAGGACATTCCATGGTTTCTCCAGGACATTCCATGGTCTCACCAGAACATCCCATGGTTTCTCCAGAACATCCCATGGTTTCTCCAGGACATCCCATGGTTTCTCCAGGACATCCCATGGTTTCTCCAGGACATCCCATGGCCTCACCAGGACATCCCATGGTTTCTCCAGGATCTTCCATGGTTTCTCCAGGACATCCCATGGTTTCTCCAGGACTTCCATGGTTTCTCCAGGACCTTCCATGGCCTCACCAGAACATTCCATGGTTTCTCCAGGACTTCCATGGTCTCTCCAGGACATCCCATGGTTTCTCCAGGACATCCCATGGTTTCTCCAGGACATCCCATGGTTTCTCCAGGACATTCCATGGCCTCACCAGAACATTCCATAGTTTCTCCAGGACATTCCATGGCCTCACCAGGACATTCCATGGTTTCTCCAGGACCTTCCATGGTCTCACCAGGACATTCCATGGCCTCACCAGAACATCCCATGGTTTCTCCAGGACATCCCATGGTTTCTCCAGGACATTCCATGGCCTCACCAGGACATTCCATGGCCTCACCAGGACATTCCATGGTTTCACCAGGACATTCCATGGTTTCTCCAGGACATTCCATGGTTTCTCCAGGACATTCCATGGCCTCACCAGGACATTCCATGGCCTCACCAGGACATTCCATGGTTTCTCCAGGACATTCCATGGTTTCTCCAGGACATTCCATGGCCTCACCAGGACATCCCATGGCCTCACCAGAACATTCCATGGTTTCTCCAGGACATTCCATGGTCTCACCAGGACCTTCCATGGTTTCTCCAGGACATCCCATGGCCTCACCAGGACCTTCCATGGTTTCTCCAGGACATCCCATGGTTTCTCCAGGACATCCCATGGTCTCACCAGGACATTCCATGGTCTCACCAGGACATTCCATGGCCTCACCAGGACATTCCATGGCCTCACCAGAACATTCCATGGTTTCTCCAGGACATTCCATGGTCTCATCAGGACATCCCATGGTTTCTCCAGGACATCCCATGGTTTCTCCAGGACATTCCATGGTNAAATAAATCAGGGATTTCCACCAGCAGGGCCCTGGCAGGGATGTGCAGTGCAGGCAGGGGATGCTGGGCTGCTGTCCCTGCCCTCTCCTGGGTAATTCCTGGATAACTCCTGGGTAACACCTGGATAAGAAACATCTGGGTAACACCTGGGGAACAAACACCTGGGTGATTCCTGGATAACAAATACCTGGGTAATTCCTGGGTAACAAACACCTGGGTGATTCCTGGATAACAAACACCTGGGTAATTCCTGGGTAATTCTTGGGTAGCAAACACCTGGGTAACACCTGGATAACAAACAGGTGGATGATTCCTGGGTAACAAACACCTGGGTAACACCTGGATAACAAACACCTGGGTAATTCCTGGAAAATACCTGGGTAATTTCTGGATAACAGACTCCTGGGTGATTCCTGGATAACAAATACCTGGGTAACATCTGGGTAATTCCTGGATAAGAAACACTTGGGTAATTCCTGGGTAACAAACACCTGGGTGATTCCTGGGTAACACCTGGGTGATTCCTGGAAAACACCTGGGTAACACCTGGATAACAAACACTTGAGTAATTCCTGGGTAATTCCTGGAAAATACCTGGGTAACTTCTGGATAACAGACTCCTGGGTGATTCCTGGATAACAAATACCTGGGTAATTCCTGGGTGATTCCTGGGTAACAAACAGCTGGGTAACACCTGGATAACAAACACCTGGATAACAAACACCTGGGTAATTCCTGGGTAACAAACACCTGGTAATTCCTGGATAGCATCTGGGTTATTCCTGGATAACATCTGGGAAATTCATGGATAACAAACACCTGGGTGATTCCTAGGTAACTCCTGGGTAACTCCTGGATAACAAACACCTGGGTGATTCCTGGATAACAAACATCTGGGTAACACCTGGATAACAAACACCTGGGTGATTTCTGGGTAATTCCTGAGTAACAAATACCTGGTAATTCCTGGATAGCATCTGGGTAATTCCTGGATAACAAACACCTGGGTAACACCTCGATAGCAAACACCTGGGTAATTCCTGGAAAATACCTGGGTAATTTCTGGATAACAGACTCCTGGGTGATTCCTGGATAACAAATACCTGGGTAACACCTGGATAACAAACACCTGCATAATTCCTGGAAAATACCTGGGTAATTCCTGGATAACAAACACCTGGGTAATTCCTGGGTAATTCCTGGATAACAAACA